AGCTTTATATATATATATATATATATATACACACACACACACACACACACAATTGAGTGGGGACAAGTTCAGTGAATTTAATACTCCCTTGCTGGTGGTATGGCAGACTGGTCTGACTCTCCCAGGAAACCGTATATGAGGGGGACCCAAAAAACCCCGGAATTATCTTTTGGAGGGTGGACCCCTTATAGTACAGGCTTCCCTTGCTAGGTTAGGCTTCTAGGAATCCATCAGCATCAGTGTACCAGCTATCATTGTTGTAAGAGGGTGTATTCGGTTTCAGTGACTTTTTTTTGGAGAGTCAACGCTTTTGCCCATTTCAAGATGAGATTTATGAGTGCACCTGCCCGCACCATGCTGAGTGTTCAGCAGTTTTTGACTGAATTCAGTATGAGCCCTGTGCCCCACCCTCCTTATTCACCCAATTTCTCCCATAGTGACATTTTTCCCCCCTTGGATGAAAAAAGTCCTCAATGGAAAACGTTTTGCTGATGTGGAAAAGGTGAAAGAAAAAATGGCAGAAGCACTAAAAAGCATCAAAATTGACGAGTTCAAAAACTGGTTTGAGCAGTAGGAAAAGCGTCTGGATAAGTGTATTACATTAAATGGAGAGTAATTTGAATGTGACTGAAATTTAAACATGTAGGAATAAATACACATTTTCTGTTTATAAAGTCTGTTTTTTGGGAGGTCCCCTTGTATATGAAAAGACAGAATAATGTCCTGTAATCTAATTCCTGGAAATTTATTCCAAAGCAATATATGAAAAAAAAAAAAAGAAAATAAATAATATACCTCAAAATTGTTTTAGTAATTCGGGTGTCTCTTATTTGCAGATCCAATTCCTCCTCACCTTCACCCTTTCAGGTATGGAGATCACCCTTTCAATCATTGGAAAGTGTCTTCTCTGGGCTTAAAATGTCCTGGGAGCCTTGCAAGGTGGTACTCTCAGAGGAGGGGGCAAATGAGGCCATTGCAAAACCTTGGGCCTCAGGCAAGGATGGTGCATCAGTACTCTGGATGCAAGTAACACATAGCTCCTCCTCAGAGGCAGACTGGGTATTCACCTTGGCTCCTGGAAGGGGTTCCTCTTTTGGTCTGTCATCCCTGGGCACTTAACTGCATGAGTAACTCAGAGGCTATTTCTGGTCCCTTTTTCTTTTTCTAGTCTTCTTCATCTGCAGACTCGTTGAACTTCAGTTCATGATTCTTCTTGCCCCTCAAAACATTCTAAGACTTTCAGGAAGACAGTAAATGCTGAATAAATCAGAGTTTAAAGCCTTAACAACCAAACTAATCCAAACGAAAACCTAACAAACCAAACAAAGGAAGTAGTCCTTCCTTTCATAGATGGTAGGGAGGAGATAGGTATTTAGAAACACAATGTATGATCTACATAAAAGGAAATTTAATTGAGTTTCTATCTAAGAAAACAATTTTTTTTTAAAAGATTGCAAGAACAAGAACAAAATTAAGGACTTCGCAGCAACTTGGATGGACTTAGATTCTATAAAAGTGATTGATCTCAGAAACAAAGAACTGAGTACCACATGTTCTCACTCAAAAGCAGACCCTGAACATTTAACATAATACTATAAGAAAGGGATTGGCAGTAGCTGCCAGAGGAGGGAAGGGCAGGGCACATAACATTAATAGGAGTACCTGATCTCAAATCAGACCAAGTGGAGCCCAACAGGAGGCTCAAACGTTGCCTGTACTCTGCCCACTTGTATACCTAATCCTGTTTGTACTGCACATCTTTAAAAAAAAAAATTGAAGAACAAATGTTGCCACCATCTTTAGAAAGGGAAACAACCTCTAACAGGGAGTTGACAAATAAATTGGTGGTCTTCAAACATTTTTGTTCACACACATGAAATGCTATCTACCCCTTTGCATAATTTTCAATTGACATTCAAAATCTTTATCATAAATTTAAGTAGTTGCAAAGGATGCAATTTCCCACATACTTTAAGAATTGACGTTTTCAAATAAAACAGTCACACTTTTAAATAAATCCAATAAAATCTAAATATCATAGCAGTTATGCCTACCATCACCATTTAAAAAATATATGAACAGACTCTTCTTTGCCTGTAGGATATTTTACATAACTTATTGTCTTCTTCACAGTTATAATTCTGTTCCACGTCTCCATCCCTCAGGAGTATATCCTAATTGTTGTATTTGTACGTTTGAATGTGTTTTATGAAACACCTGATTATATTTTTCTGCAATGAAAATACATATGCATTTAAACTTTAAATTTCCTATGACTAAAAGACTAAGTGCTCAAACATTTTCTTCTAATTGAGGCATAGTTATATATATATTAGTAATTATCAAGTATTCAAAACAAAAATGTATTACAAATTCTTATAATTATTAAAGATGTGATGTTTTACATTAGTGCATATATTTGTTGTTAAATACTACTTCTTCCTAGAAACAGACCGCGGTCAGAATCAGTTTTCTCAATTTTTCATTTTTATAAATTCTGAGAAAACATTTTCACATTAATAAGTAGATGGGTCTATAAAGAGTTCTGTCATTATATCAGTGTCATTCAATTCTTTGAACTCTCTCCAATTTTTAAACTTAGTAATCTTTAGGTTATATTTTGTTGAAAGCAATAATTTGGAAATCATCTGACTTATAAAATAATTTGTTATCCAGTCATTAGAAGTATATAATTTCTTAACACAGCTCAGTATTTTAAATTTATTTAAAAAACTGATAAGGTTTGCCTGAGGTTTTTACAACCTGGAACAATGCACCATTTTTACAAATTGGGAAATATGCAGCTATTGTGAAAGAGTTGAGAAATGAACCAGTAAGATAACTTGACCACATTCTTTTACCAGCAAATCTATTTTAGGAAAGAACATAGGTATAAGTCAAAAATTCAGAAACTGGTAGCCTTAAAACTAAGTGTTCACCCATCCCCTAAAAATCCCAAGGCGGGGGGGATATACATCTCCGTTTGAAGACCACTGATGTAAATTTTTACATCATCTTATTGAATTAGATGAAAGAGGTCAATTCAGGTTAGGCTTTGGTTGCAACACTGTACACTGGTATCTGTACCCAGGAAGTATAGAACTGTGATCTATACACTGGGGATAAAACAGTCTTCTTGGCTGTTTAATTTTTATAGATGATTGATCTCATCCTGTATACCCTTTCTTTTATATTTTCTTCTTGATGGCAATGACTTTAACTTCAATTTTGGGAATCTGATATTGAGTGTATATATACTGACAACCTAATGGAAATACTATCTCCACTTAAAAATTATTAAGACTAAAAACATGAGAAATGTTTAGAGTATGACATGGGAAAAAAGCAAAATATATAGTATGAAAATTATTTCAATTTTGCAAAACTATATAAACTTTTTGACAGCACTGAAAGCAAACATGCAAAAACAAAGTTGTGATTTTTAAAATAATGCTTAGCGTTGCATAGCTTCTAATGTAATAATGATGGTTACATTTACAATGCTCAGGGTCAGTCTGCCTACCCTAATATTCTTTCTCTCCGTTTCTTCCTAAACTCACATTAAGGAATCGTGTGTTTAAGTTCCCCCAAATAAAGTTTTCAAGAGTTTGAAAGTCCCTTCTCAAAACTCTATTTTTCAATCATGACTCACTGCAGGTGTTACCCAGTCTAGTTCCCAAGTCTTAAACGTCACAAATTCCAGAAGTTTATTTCCTGCTGTAGATAGTAACAATTCCTTTCATTCATATAACCTTTTAAAGCTTTCTTTTCTTTCCTGGTTTTATTACACAGCGTTCAAGAACTCTGTTGACTATATTGCTCTTAGGTTTAACCATTCCTTTAGATTTCTTTTAGAGCCCATACTTTTAAAAAAGTCATGTGTGGCAACGACCAAAACTAGTATCATTTTCTGAAATTTGTTTCCTCTGCGTGTGTGTTCTGAGGGGTCACGACGAGCTCGGAAAATTCTAGGGCCCACCAAAGGAAGGTCTAAAGAGGCTACTGCGAGACCGTCCACGTATGCATGTGACTCAGGACTGGCCACCAGGGCTCTGGGAGCTCTGGGATGAGACCACAGGACTTCTTCAACGAGCACCCGGGAAATCGGAGAGGACAGAAGCCCGCGAGACCCTGGAAACCGCTCCTTCCAC